CGAATTTTATTGAATATTGTCCTCACGTGATTTACGCCACTCTTTCTCCAATCGACTAATGTCATGACTCCATGAGTGAATACTATCATTTCATTTCATTCAAAAAAAAACTTTTTTTTTTTAATAAATCGTGAAAATTCTGAATCTTTGGTTCATAATCTATTCGATTCTCGAAGTCAATCTTTAGATATTCTGATTTAAAAAATAATCATCCGTTCCAAATAAAAATTGAACCCGAAACACAAAAAAAAAAAACTCTCTTGATTATAACTTATAAGATTTTTGGTGGGTGGGTGTTAATGCCTCCTCCTTATTTCATGTACATCCGTCCATGCTCCTTTTATTTATTTTGTGCGCGAAACATGATATTTGTGTGTTTTTTTCTTTTAAATCACGCAAAATTTTGTTTACATTCAAATAAGTATACATTAAATCATGGAAATATGAGAAAATATCAAAAATTCCCTCTAAAATTGAAACTACTAAATGTCATGAACCGTTTTTCAAAACCTTGATACTTAGAGCTTTGATTTTTTTAATTTACTAGTAGGTAATGATAAGGAGAAAAAAAAGGTTGATCACTTATTTATTAAAATATTAATGGCGCTAATTTTCTTACAGAATTCTATCTTAATTTTGGTCCCTAATTATTCTTCATTTATAGTGTTAGTGTTCCCGAGCATCTTCCTTTCTTTTGCAAATATCTAATTCAATATCTTGTTCTTTATCTCGAGTCAACTGTACAACCACGTAAGCGAAGACAAAATGTACAACATTTGTTGTTGGTTTCGAATTGTAAAGTAAAGCAAGTAAAAAATACTAGAATTGTAGTTAGGTTATCAGAATAACCAACTATTACCGACATCATTATTTCTCTTGTTCCCTTATTTAGAAAGACAAATATCATGATCACATTGAAAACAATGTCTATCCGTGCGACTCTGATTATTAAATAATTAATGTCGGGATGTCTTTTAATTAGGGTTATAATCGCTAATCAGTGTTTCGCCTTTTTGTCCCTACATTTCGGGTTTCTATTTGGAATCATAATCATTTCAATCTTTAGAAAAGAAAAAGCTCTAATTGCTACATACGACACCACTTTTCGTTAACACCTTAGCGATCAAACATTTTCGTTAACACCACTCCACTAAACAGGTTAGTTCACATTATTATTATTTTTGCCACTAATCCACATTATTATAGTCTTTTACTAACCTATTTCTTCGTTATTCAAACTTTCTATAATACATTCGTATGAAAATTTTAAAACATTTTTTAAAGTAAATATAGTTTAGCAGAAATTTTTGATATGTGTGACATTAATCCTTAGATAAATTAATATTCATTAGAGAGAGTATATTAAAATAACTTTATTGGTGTCATATGCACTGCTCCAACTGTTTATATGATAAATTATCATCAAAGTTTACTAAAACAAATATTTATCATCAATATGCTTTTATTTTAGTGATTCTTGTAAAATGGTTTAACTGACTGTTTAAAAATTTTATTTTTGCTTTAACGTACACTCTTTTTCTAGTAGGTGTGTAATTGTCGTTAATTAAGGCTAAAGAATGACAATTAGTGTGTGTTCACGGTTGGGGAGTTGGCCCCATTTTGGTTACCGACGTTTACTATTCTCTACTTTAAACTAATTTGTAAACCGTTTGATCAAACATACTTGTACGAATTGATCTTTGAATCAAATCGCCAACGTCGGTTTTGTAATCATATTCCAAAAAGCATTATGATTGTGTTTGAAATATAGACAGTGCTTAGTGGATTTTGGCCAAATAGATAGGAAGCTCACTTTGAATAATTTAATACAATTTCACTAATACTTGACACAATTCACAGTGGTTTTTGACTTTAAAGACTAGAAACAAAAACTTGAGTTAACCAGATGATTTTCATAGGGAACCAACCTTTTTCATAAAGTATCGGAACATTATTATGGTCTTATAATCTAATTTTAAAAAAAAAAAGTTTAAAATGTAGGGTAACATCTTAGTTTTGTTATACAAATAAAATTTATGTAGTAAGGTGTGTACAATAGATAACGAACTTCTGACTTTATTTTTAAATATCGTGTTTAAATTTAGCTACGTACAAAAAAAGATATATATATTTTTTTATTTTTTTTTATAAATTAAATTAAAAATATAAAAGCTCTATTTGGAAGAAATGGTATTCTCAAAGAGAGTAGTAGAATAAAGGCTGATTCAAAACCCAACAAAATTAGGGTTTCGGCGAATGAACCAATGGTTAAATAATTTATTTTCCATTAAAGTTTGAATCTTTGCACTGTAATTTCATCATCTTTGACTATAAACATTTTCGGTGGCAAAAAAATCAGGTTTTTATAGGTCTTGGGAAATTAGTTTGGATTTTGGTGTAAATATTTCCAGTTAACAAAAATATTTTGCTTTTTAGC